ATCTCTGACTGTCTTTGTCTTTCTCACCCTCCCTGGAAAGTTAAGGGGCTCTCAGCCAGAGCAAAATGGACCTTAGAAACAATCAGGAAAATTAGCAGTTGCTGAGTGGTTCAGTGAATCTTTATAATAAAACACGCCCCCCCAAACCCAAGACAAAATACATGCACACCACTTGCTCTGTATGCCTCTGGGCCCCATTATGATATTTACCCAGTTCTGATGAGCATACACTAAAAAACAGAAACAGCCCATTTGTTTTCTGACCATATGACGGTTGCATTGTGCAGCCAAGCCCTGGGGACAAAGATAAAACACCCGGGACCACTGTAAACCATTTAGGTTCTGTGTACATATTATGGGTTTTTAACAATGCTTGGAGTTTTCCAACCTAGGAGACAGAATGTCATAATGATGTTAAGGACAACCCGCCTCCAGTTTAAACAGGACTGTGGATTTCTTTACTAGTCCCTCGAATGTTGCTTACATACTTCCAGAATGTACCGAGTATACGGTAAGTGGATGTCCACGGAATGGACCATTCAGAGCACATCAGGGCCCGTTGTAGACATAGGGGATGTTAAAAAAAAGAAGTTGTTTTGCCTGGATTTGTTCAAGTTCCAGAATGACAGGGAAATAACCCATGTACATCCCTGGAAAGAGGACTGTACAGTTAAGTTCAGGTTCAAGGAGGAGGCAATGTTGGGTCTGGACTTGGAGAGGTGTGGATTAACCAAACTGACAAGTGGGTGGGGAAGGCATTTGGCACAGGGAAAACAGCATCTGTGAAGTCCTGTGGGAGGATGCCGTGTGGGGATGAGGCTGAGGAGCAAGATGAGGCTGGAGCACTGGGTAGTGTCTGAGGAAGGAGGATGAAGCTGCCCCATGGGCTGATTCCTCACATCTTTATGGATGCTCTCACTCCTTAAAAGCTGGAGAGCCTGATTCCTTCCTGCCCCTCCATAACATCAGTGTGCTATCTGACAGTTGGGTGGTGGGCCAGAGAACTGGGAAAAGTCAACAGCAGTGAAGGGGTGTGTACAAAGCAGGCAGAGTCACAGTAAGAGGGCGAGGAGGAGCCAGGGGCTGCTGGAGGGTCCCAAGGGGCGCTTGTTAATCTCATTTTTAAACGAATAAATCCTGGATGAAGGACTTCAGGTTGGATGTGGCCAGGCTGTAGGAAACTGGGCAGGCAGGGCCTTTGCGAGCCATGGCAGCTACAGGCGCCTCTTCCCACAGTAGCATCTGCCTATTCTGAGATCAGGTGGAGGGAGGGGACACACCGCTGGAATTGTCTAGAGCCTGCAGCCCATCCTAGCCTTCCCAGGAGCTCTGCGGTCAGGAATGGGGTTTCTTTGAGCTGCAAAGAGCTTCACAGGACTCCAGGGGATGGATTCCCTTAGCCACTTTGAGCCCTAACAATACAACCATAAAAAGTGCCCATCACCTTGCTTGGCTCCAACAGGGACAACTAAAAATAGCAGACCTGGGGGACGGAATTAGACATCAAAGCACTAATAATAACCACAGCAGGAACCGTTTTAAAATACAGCAACAGCACCTTTGATTCTCAAAATACCAAGGTATTATCTTTCATTACCTGTGTTACAAATGGGGAAACTGAGGCACAGATGTTGGCCTACTTGCCCGAAGTCTCATAGGTAGGAAGGAGAGTTGTGGGTCTATGGCTTGGGTGTGGTTTGTCCACCAAGGTTGGAGGGGTGTTAAGAGGTGCTGGGATCTTTGAGAGGTGGAGCTCCTGAGGGGTGTCAGGGTGCTGCCTGGGGGACTGAGCAGCTCTTGTGAGTTCCACGCTTAGTTCTCTCTTGCTTGCTTCAGCTTCCTGTCTTGCCCTATGATCTTCCACATCCTGATCTCGGATCTTCCGAATCTCTCCACATGCCTGTGTTACTGTTCTTGTTGCTATGGCAATGTCGTTGCCCGTGTTAGTTGCTGTTCTTGTTGCTATGACACACATTGGTGTTTGCCTGACAAAAGTTAAGGAGGGGTGGGTTTATTCTAGATGCGGTCCATCATGACACGGAAGGTATGGGGCTGGAGGTGAGGCAGCTGGTCACATTGTCTCCAGAGTCAGGAAGCCGAGAGAGATAAATACTGATGCTCAGCTTGCTCTCTTTTTACTCAGTTTGGGACCCCAGCCCATGAGATGGTACCACCTGCATTTAGGGTAGGTCTTCCCACTTCAATTAGCTCCATCCTGAAACTCCCTCCCAGACATGCCCAGAGGTGTATTTCCTAAGTGAATCTAGATCCTGTCAAGTTGAAGAGCTAAATGAACTTTCCTTTATAAACTTCTTAGTCTCAGGTGTTTCATTATAGTAACAGAAAACCTACTGATACATGGCTAAGCACTGTGCGACACTATCTCTTGCAGTGACAGTCTTGGTGGGATGAGGGAAGTCACAGGTCTTGGCTGGGAAGCAGGTTGGCTGCAGGTATGGAGGGGCAGTATTCAGCTGCTGGAGGTGCAGGTTCTTTGTCTCAGCAGTGATGGGGTCAGGGACCTTAGGCATACTTCCAAGACCCATCTAGGTAAACCAAATGCTGCCAACAAGTCTTTGTGGTTCTTGGTAGAAGAAAGTCCCAGTGATCACTTAAACCTGCTTGTTCCACAACATGGCTTAAGCTGTCCAATTTCTGTGCTGGGCCTCTTCAACATAACCTCTCACTGAGACCCTGACTCACTCGGAGCCATTTGCATCCCCTCTGTAAATTACTTAGGTCCCCCAACCCCTGCATCCTCATGGCTTCATGCTTATAGTGAGTTGAATGGTAACCTCCAAAGATCCGTCCATGTCCTGGTCATGGTACAAATGAGCAAATCTGTCCATGTCTGGTCATGGGTACCTATGAACAGGACCTTGTATGGCAGCCACAAGCACACGTGCATAGCCATGATGTGATTCAGTTAAGACACCTGAGGAGCAGGCCCTCAGCTCAATAATGAGATAAGACTCACAAAGCAGGGAAGAGGGCTGTGCTGGGAGTGATGTGGTCACAAACCGAGGACTGCCTGGGCCACTGAGGCCAGGAGAGGAAGAGGTTCTCCTGCGTAGCCTCCAGAGGGAGCAGGGCCCTGCCCACCCCTTGACTTGGGACTCCTGGCCCCTTAGAGCTGTGGGAGAATACATTTATGATCTTTAAGAGCTGCTAGTTTGTGGGTCACATGTTGGAGCAGCCACAGGAAATGAGCAGATTCTTAGTGCAGAGCAGGACTGTGTACAGGGTTCTGTAGGCAGACAAAGCAGCTCCCTTGTATAGACCACAGGCAGCCTGACTGAGAGGTCCTGCACCCCTGAGGTGAGCCAGGGATGCCAGCTGGCTGGTGCCTCCGAGGTTTCTAACTACTCTTCCTCCCCTGCTCAAGAAAGCATCCTGATGTCAGGCTTCAAGTCCTCCCCCTCTCCAGGGGCAGGCATGGAGGAACACTGGAGGAGCACCAGGACCCCGGGCCCTGGCTGGGCTGACCTGCTTCAAAGGATCGAGACCCAGAACCCTGGGCAGTGGAGCTGACAGGATCACACTGAGGGAGGGGCCCTGCTAGGGAGATTGGAATGTGAGCCTATACATTCCTGGACTGAGCCAGCCTAGGCTGAGGGATCTGTCAGGTCCCCTAGGGATGCTTAGACCCCCAGTAACAACCATGGGGGTACATCTGCATTCTCCAGGGCCCAGGGCGTCGGGTCACAGGTGGCAAGCTGGTACTCCTCCAGAGGCTCCACACCCATTTTATTTAGCCTTGCTCCCACGCCCGGGTAGTGTTTCTTCCTATGAGTCCTGCAGGCAGGGCTGGTTAGAAGTCTGCACAGCTCAGGGAACGCGGTAGCTCCGCTGGGGTGAGGATGCGGGTCCGGCTAGAACCCCTTCTTCCTTCTAGGTCTTGGGACTATCCAGGCGGCCTGTGGCTGCGGGGTGTGTGTGGGGTATCCCCCCTTCCATTCCACCCTGACAGCAGACACCTTTGGTCAATCTGCTTCTCTGCGGGCTACCCTAAACTCTGCACACCTATCTTCCTGGCCCCCCTACCCCAGACACACCTTGGGACAACACTACCTCGCAGCGCGCTACACCCCTCCCCCGCCACTCCTTTACTGGAACGCGCCCTTTTTCCACCCCTCTCCCAGCCAACCGAGCACTAGACCGTCTGTGTCTCTTGCCGTTGTACGTTCCTCCTCCCCAACCCTTCGTCCGCCACCAGGATCCCCAGATCCGCATGGCTGCGGACTGGCACCCGCTCCCTCCACCTTAGCGGGCTCGCTCGGTCCCCAGCCTCTGCCCTCCTCTTCTTCTTTCCCGATCGCCCCAGCCCGCCCGCGTCTCTTAGTTTGGCACCCGGCGCCCCCGTCCTCCGCCCGGGGTCCCCGGGGAGACCCCGCACATCCCCGCGCTCCTTTGTGCGGCCGAGCGGCGGGCGGCGGCGCTGCGTCAAGGCGGAGGCGCATCCCCACGCGCACGCCCGCGCGCGGCCCCCGGGGGGGAGCGGCTGGCAGGAGGCGGTGC